ACTTCATTTCTGGATGATACAAAAACCAACAACAAAACGTTCACCCACACAAAATCATAATAAGCACGACGTACATATACAGAACGACTTCTAATACGATATTAAAATACAATAAGGTCTGGAAGAAAACATCGTTTGAGGTCTGATAAACATCTGATTAAAAGTTGCATTTAAGAGATTATATTTAAGTTTATATAATTTTATACACCTGAAGATGGTTCTTTCAGAACTGAAACATGTCGTGTAAAAAAGTGATAATCTAATGTAAATCGAACATTTCGATAGAGAACATCAATAATATATTTTAAATATTTAAATGTTAATTATGTAATATTTTAATATTTAATAGGAATTTTATTGTGATTGTGACTGACAAGATTTAAACAAATATTCACAACTTTATTGTACGTCTCCATAGCTACGGTTTGGACGAACGACTTTCGATTCCCGGTAGGGGCAGAACCTTCTCGTTAGTACGTCTGGACGGTCTGAGGGGTACGTCCCACATCCTGTCCAGTTGATACAGGATACATATTTACCGCACCTTAAAACACACCACTTTCTTCCGCAGCTGAGTTTAAGAATGCGTATAAGTTTTACTTCACTGCACTGTGCTTTTAACATTAACTCTGTACTTAATTTTGCTGGTTATGTTGAAGCTCTAAGGAGAACGTCAGGCTCTAATGAGTCCTTTGGTTCTCGCACAAACAGGATTTCGCGCGTGTTCTTTCGAAGCAGAACTTTGAGATTTTGTCTTAAACGAATAATGTCTTTCCTGATTCACTGCTAGATGGCTCTGGCAGTCAAAATCAGGACTTAGTGGAAATTGTGCAGAGGCAGTAGGATTGTCACTCACCACTCAAATGCGCCTTACAAGACTAATAAGGAGAAGATATAATATGAAGGACGTGAACATGATAAGAAAAATGAAAACTAAAAATTCATTAAAAATCAGTAATTCAGTTAAAAAGTTTATAACATAACACCTGATGATGGCTATATATAGCCGAAACATGTCGTAAATGTTCCACATGTAAATCGAGTACTCGATACGGAACGTAAAATGATTTTTTAATCTTTTAATTATCTTATATTGTGATTGACGGCCAATTTTAATATATTTTAATGATATTTAATAAGGAGAAGTTATCTTTAGCAAATGTCCCGGAACGGGCCAATAGGCCCAATCTTTGTAGTAGTTGATGATGATGACGAATAATCTTACCGGTAAAGCGTACATTCCATGACGTGGAAATGAAAAATCTCCACATCGAATTGAGGGCTTCCTTTCCAGTTTCGTGATTGCTTCCAAGGTCGTCCGAAGCCATAAGAAGATTGAGAAAACGCAGTGAATGTGTTGGACTGTTAAGGAAATTGAGTTAAAATGATTCAGGCGGGATTACGTTCACAAAAATTTGAGTTATTTTTTGTAGTTTAGGCTTGTACAATAACTGGAACAACTCTGAAAAGTCAAGAAGGACTTATATCAAATAACATGTATTAGGTTCATCCAGGAAGCTGGCCGAACATATTATCCGTAAGTGAGCACAAAATTAAACAGTAAAGGAAATTAGACAAACTTAGTTCTTTTTATAAGACGCATCACACTTAAAGATGTATCATCTGTAGCTTCTTGACACGACATTGGCGCCCCAGGATCAGAACGCCGAATTTCAGTCCGATTTGATTTGAGCTCGCAGGCAAAATTCGCCAGCAAAATGGAAGAGAGACAGAATGAGGTGAATATGAAGATGATGCAAGGCGGAGTTCCTGATAACGGTGCTTCTGAGCCATTCTCTGTGGATCAGTGTTCGTTCCAGGTTGATGTTTCCTCGAGTTGACGCTCTCACGAAGACTGGAAAAGTTTTCAGTAGTGACGTTAGATTTTAAAATGTTATATTTTACAGCTGATATTCTCATTACGCAGATTTTATAAGCACGTCCAATATGCGCGACGTAAGTCTCGTAATAACTTTGTTCGGATCATGAAAATTTGTGTTTAATACGAATGATACTTTGTATTCCTTTAAGTTCACAGAGATAGGAAAGGAATAGCAAACGAGATGAAGATAAGAAAGGGAGAAGGGACGAGGATACAAATACATTATTTTCTCGTTGAATTTTGACGGGACTTTTCCAATAGTTAGTGTGTCTAAATTTGTGTACATAAAGCATATAGGTAATATTTATTTGGAGCGTTCTCTACCATGATGGATATTTGAATAAATGCGGGGATTGTAACTTGTAGGTAGGCGTTGAAATGTTTATTATGTTTTTGTTTCTACCAACAAGCGTACATTTTAGGCCACTTTTCTCATTACGTAGTTCATTACTCGAACGAATTCCATCAAATTATTTATTATTATTATTATTATTATTTAGTGTTCTGTCTGACGACAGGTCCATATGAACAGGATCCTTCCATCCTTTTCTGGGACTGGGACCTGTTCATATACGTTCTTGGCAGATGATCCAGAAGTGGTTTGCCATTGCCTTCTTCTGTGTGTGAATGGAGTAATTGTTGGGATGCCACGGAGAAACCGGGGAAGCCCCCGGAGGAAAACCCCGTGTTGCCTAGACCACGGCCTTCCCCAACACAATTTATTCAACAGAATTACTGCATTATGGTAAAAATAGTTACCGTTTATACGTCCTATAATGAGCTCGTATAGGTTATTCAGTGAAATGAATATACACGGGTTACAATACCTACCTTCTTTTTCAGACGACGGTAAGGAATTTTCGTTTTTGTACGACGTCTGGACCTGGTGTTTGCCGGATTCTTATTCAAAACGTACTGTAGGGCAGTGTGACCGTGTAAAGCTGACCTATGACCTCGTCTATCGCGGAGGTTGAATGGCGAGCCCTATGAACCGTGTCCCGTATGCCTTAATGGACCGATGCTTACCATAGCGCGAACATTGTACGTATTGAAAGAAAATTCTTTGTGTAATGCGATAGAACGTGTATTTAAATAAATTCAGCAGGGTGTCGTGAAAAATTATATTTTTGAAGCGTAAGTAATTCTAATATATCGAAAGAATTTGCCCCTTTTTCAATTCTGCATGTGATGTAGTTTTCAAGTGCCTACCCTAGGACGCGATGCAGGGGTTTAAAATGATTGAATTAATAGCTCGATTCAATGAAACGCAGATCAAAGTATGTATGAATTTATAAGTACTTCACAAAATCCCAAAGCTACATAAAAAGATAATTTATTTTCGTACGATGCTACTACATTTGTTACCTTTCCACTTTATACGTATAAAATTAATGTCTCTGAGAAAGAAATTAAGAAAAAATAATTTCGCCTTTTAACATGAACTAACAGCATACACAAAAATTTACATTGCAATTTCTCCAAGTATGTGCTGACTGACGTAATTACTGACGTCATATCCGCCATGTACACTGTACAGTATTAATCGGTTGCATGATTTGTTAATTTCATTAAGTTCAAAATTTGTTACTGCCATATCATTTGTCAAATTTGAAATCAGGGCTTTTAGACTGAGAAAACATTATAACTAATAAGAAGGTCACTAAAATGTTGGAGCTAATAAGCCAGCAGTAGAACGTGTTGGAGACTGCGAAACGGTCTTGATCCATACAGGCCACAGGATGTTGTTAATATACTGATACTTAAGGGGACGCGGTTGGTTGAGGGATACGATGAATGTTAGAATAATTTCAGTGGGGAAACCGCTTTTGAAAATGTCACACAGGAGATTTAGGACAGGACAGGACAGGAGAGGACAATAACAGATCGATGTTAGGAATACAGATTATGAGAATAGTAAGGCGGCTTACGTAACTGGCCGCGGTTTGTGTCTCCTGAGAGATCTCCGACCTTATATCAATGCGTAACAATTACGGGAGATAGAACATCTGGGCATGTATGAGATGTTGACATAAGAGTCGTGGAGATGATTCGACTGACACAAAAAGATGCAATTGTGGGCTTTTGTGATAATGTTCTCGCATTTGTAAATTATATAAAAACCGGCATATTTATCGAAGAGATTCTCGGTTTGTCGGCTCTATAATACAAAAGTCTGTCGCAGTTTTCGCGACGTATATTTTAGTACCGAAATGCCAAATAAGCAACATAATCTTAGCTTGTTATTTATTTACCTTTGCAGTCCGGTTGATATTATTATTAATTCGTAATTTACAAAAGGCGTTAAGTCAAGTTTTGTGTCTGTCTTCAGTTATTCAATTTATTCTCGTGTTACTGTGGCAGACACGAGTAATTAAAACTGCCTGTACATCTTGTACATTAATTTCAGAGGTATTTTCGAGATAAGGCGAGAGTTAGAGCCTCAAATAGTAACTGACCAGTTTTCGGACCTTGTGTTCTACGTCTGAAATGTATAAACTGTACCCAGATTCTGACTGTGTCGTTTTAGTAAATACTCCTCTGTTGTGATTGTTAGATTATTTGTTTTAAATATTTTTAATTTCAATAACATTTATAGGTACTTTATGGACACTCTGAACAGAATGTAACAAATTATTTTAGGATACGTCAGAACGAGGGTCATTAAAATAAAAGTTGTTGGTGCTCCTTTTGTCTGTATTTTATATTACGTGCTGTACCTGGATGTTGTGCAGAGAAGCGTTTTGAATTAAACTGATAACATTTGATCTGGGTTTCTCGAGTGACTGGCATTAAAATAGAATGTGTCTGCCAAATGTCAATTCTGACCCTCAATATCAAATTAAACGAAATTTCTTAAAATTATTCTCGACATGAAACATGAGGACTGTCGAACAGACAGACAATTATCTTTTATTATTTGTTAATCTTTTCTGCTTTTTACTAACAATGCAAAGACAGTTTATAATTAAAGTTTTGTCTGGTATTTGGGTAGTGTGAACTGTTGCTGGAAACATGAATCAAATCTGTGTTCCTACTGTATTACTCTACAAAGATACTGACTAGAATTGTAAAAATTACGGAAGGCATTTCTTAACCAAATTATTCGCTTTGTTTTCAGGCTTCAGAACCTGTGTCCGAAAGTTCCCGGTCAGTACAAGTCATTGGCTTACTTCAAACCGTAAAGGTATGTGATATATTTTAATAATAATTACAATAATAATAATAATAATAAATATATGCACAAGGTATCTGCAGTATTACATCCTGCAATACAAAGGACTGGCACAAAGTATTAGCAACGTTATGTTTGTGACACAGACTAGTTTATACAAACACGACAAAGGAACGGAAACTGTAATTAATTAAGCGAGCTTAAGTAACGATACGGATGCTTTTAGAAGGGATTTACGAGACAGACGAATACAGCGTCTGCAGAAGATATGAAATTATTGGAATATTACCTTGTGAAGGAGAAATCGATATTAGGAGATCATGTTGCAACTGAGTACGTACAATCGTTTGCTAAACGAAAGGCAGATATTTCAACTTACTGGATGGAAGATCTGAAAATTACTTTAATATGGCTGGTTTCTTTAGTCTGGTAGAAGTTTTTACCAAAGTTTCGGAGGTCCTTGCTGCCTCTATCTTCATAGCAACGAGACTCATCGCAGCAAGGATTCTGGTAAATTCCTGCCAGACTACACGGCGCTACAATCCAGACCAGAGACCACCTTCGGACTCACTGCCGTGAGAATCTCAAAACCTGCAGAAGGTAACGTGTCAGGTGATGTCATTGTACGTAAACATCGGAAGAAAACCGATGACCGAAAATGTCATGAGAGAGAGAGAGAGAGAGAGAGAGAGAGAGAGAGAGAGAGAGAGACATTTGTCACGCTGAGAATTTAGTCTCTTTATTTCACTTCTGAGAAACAGAATTATATAAAATTGAGGGATCATGATTTTTATATGTTGTGCTGTGTTTCTGCCCGATGTAGTGTATTTATTGTAACGCTAAAATCTCTTGAGATATATATTAGGCAATGTTTGTACATGCCATTCCATCAGACCTAGTTCAGACCTAGTTAATTTTGTTTGAACTTCGAACAGGAGCCCATTTTCTAAGTGAATGTTAAATATTACCCCCTTTGAGGCCAATTTTCTTCAACATGTGGCAACCGATAAGGACCAAACTGTACTTCTCTTGAGTTAAAAATCCCTTTATGTCGTTATTATTTTCGTAATTTAAATTTGTGATTTGAACAGACAGAGATTCCCCTTCAATGAACACTTTCTTGCGTGTAAAACAATCAGAATCTGAGAAATATTTCCTTACTTATCTGTTTTAGTTCTAAGATTAGAGAGGTGGGTCTGATGTTGGAATTTCTTCCCCGCCTTTCGTCTTTCGGACGAATTTTATTCACATGACAAAGGCCGAATTACTTCGGGCTTAACTTTTTGCAGGGGCCAGTGAGTCATAGGATGTAGGCCTAGAGGGTTGGTATCGCTTATTTATTTTTTCCTATTGTGGATCTATGCGACGACGAAAGTGTCTAGGTACACGTTTCACTGCATCAGATTCAGGTATCTGACGCTCGCCGTGCAGCTGTGATAGGGGTAAGAATCCTCACTCCTCTCCAACAGCCGGACGTGCTGTAGTTGGCAGAACCGTTAATAAAAAAGAAAAATCATAAAATATTTTGCTGGGCAGTTCATATGACGGGAATTCGAAATGAGGAACACTTGTTCTCCAAGTTGATGATGGTAGGTGGGGACAGTTTTATCTAAGCCCCTCTGACAGATATCTGTCATTAATTTTTTAACGAAACGCTGACCGTCTGCTGACTGTTCTCTCGTCAGTATTGTCGACATAAATTCTCAGATAATTTACACGATTGTACAGCATGTTTAAAATGATCAAGAATATAAGAATTGGCTATATTTAATGTACCAGAGCAGTTAAAACAGTCAAGTAACTTACATAAATGCAGACAAACATTTCCATTTTTATTCACATGTGTTTAGTATGCGCGCCATGATAAATTTCTAATCGATGTTAACATTTCTCGCACGTGCGCTGTTGTATTACTTCAATTATTTTAGTAATCCGCATTTGAGACCCGTTGTCATAGCTCTGGTATGGATTTTCACGATGATGGTCTGTAGACGCAGTCCTTGATGAAACTGCAGATTAGGAAAATCAAGACTTAACAGGTCCTGGGATCTTGGTGGCCAGACTAACAGTCCCCCGTGCCCTGTAAAACTTTCTGGCAGCTGAATATCGAGAAGCGCTCTCGCGTCCAACTGAAATCACGGTGACGCCGAATGGTGGAGGAGTAAAGGACCAGGAAGGTTTTCCCTGAAATGGGGCCACAGCAGAAGCGTCTCAAGGCATGTAAAACTGGTAACCGTAGCCACGCCATTTTAGATTAAGGACGGCGACAGTGCTGCATCGGTCAACAAGTGAACTACTTCATGCAACCATGAAAATTAAATTATTTCTCTACATATACGAAGTTATTTAAGTTTTTATAACTCAACTGGTTCATTAAATATAGCTAGTTATAATCATCTTATTTATTTTGAATCACGTTGTATTTTTAATTCATAAACGGATACCTGAAAGATACTTTGATTACCGGCCATTACAGCGTTATTAATAATAATCTGCCGTTACATAGCAATATTACATTTTTAAACTACGTGGAGAAGAATCTTTAAGAAGTTAATAATCGCTTAGCTTGTAAAGAAATTCCTAGTCTTTATGCATATGGAGTGTCGCGCTGTATGGAGCAGAGACTTGGACACTCAGGAAGAAGGAACAGAAATACCTGGAGAGTTTTGAAATGTGGTGTTGGAGAAGAATAGAGAAGATCAGGTGGACGGATCGAGTGACCAACGAAGAAGTATTGAGGAGAGTCAACGAGCAAAGAAACATTCTGCAGGCGATTACACGAAGGAAAGCTAACTGGCTGGGACATATTATGAGAAGGAATGGATTAATGAGTGATATCATCGAAGGCCAGGTTGAAGGAAAGAGAGGACTAGGAAGAAGATTGATACAGCTAACCGACGACCTTAAACAAGGAAAGAAGATGACGTTCCAGGAATTAAAGCGAGAAGCCGAGAATAGGGACAACTGGAGAGCTCTTTTTGGGCAGAGCAATGGACCTGTCGTAAGACAGAACACTGAATAATAATAATAATGCAATCTTAATGTAAAATAGAAATGCTCTTTTTATGACCACAATCTCATATCGACAAACCGTATTTATTTATTATTCTTTATCTATGCCTGAAGTTAACGAGTTCTCTTTTTTCAACTAAAATGTTCTGGTTAGCTTCTTAACTTCTTTTATTTTCACCATAAGCCCATACCTCACCCTTGTCATGCAGTTTATTCCAGTCTCCCTTCTCAGTTTTAAACGTTCTTTTCAGCGCCCTGTTCTCAGACACGTTCGACATCTGACCTCTTAGAGTAAAATACCAAATACAAAACATAGAATAAAATTAATAATTGTTACGCTTGAATTTACAAAACCAGTTCTCGTGATTAGTAACAACATTCGAAAGGAGTTATAATTTCATGCTGGTCTGTGCTGTTGGAAATTTAATTGAATTTTTGAAACTAAAACAACCGCCAATTAGTCACCAGTAATCGATTCTCAGAGCTCATGACACACGCTTCAGCGTTTAGAGTTTCAGCGTCATCATTTGGATGTGTGCGACGTATAATATAAGTCAGTCACATGTTACTATAACAAAGTGGGTTTTATTTATCCTGTTGTAATATTAAAATTTATTTGTGTTTGTTGGATTAATCTGGCTCAAAATCTCAATTTCTTAAAGCGTCGTGGGATTTTTGGTGTTCTAGTGGGTTCAAAAATTCATGCAGCTCAAATTTGAATATGATGTTTATTATAAACAACATACTTGATTATAATTTGTATCAAAAGGTAGAAATTACTCTTTATATTTAAAGTGTCCCCAGACCCTGTTTGCAGACGTAACAAACCATTTCAGTGTACTCACTCAATCACTATCGCACTGCATGTTGCAGGAAATTCTTTAAAAAGTTGATTGTATACTCGACTTGTAAAAGAATAACCCACTTCTATATGTAACCCAAAGGTTCATCACCATGTTTACAAAAGCCTGCCACAAAACTCAATCCTGAGCCAGCTCCATCCATTTGGGTCCATCGATTCCTGTCTCCGTAAGGTCTGTCATAATGTTATCCTCCCATCTACGTCTAGGTCCTCCCAGCGGTCTCTTTCCTTCAGGCCTCCCAACCAATAACTTGTACACCTCTCTCCCGCCCACTAATATTCCTCGATTTAATCACCCGAACAATATCAGGTTATGATTACAGGCCGTAAAGCTCTTCAGTATACAATTTTCTCCATTACCCGTCTTCCTCCCATTTAGGTACAAATATCCTCCTCGACACTCTGTTATCAAAGACCCTCAATCTATGTTCCTCCTTCAAAGTGAGAGACCAAGTTTTGTACGAATACAGCACAACTGGCAAAATTACACTTTTGTGTATTTTAATTTTTAGATTTTTTGATATAAGGTGGGAGGACAAAAGATTTTGAACTAAATGATATCAAGTATTCCCTGAATTTAATCTGATCCTCGTTTCGTCATGAATTTGAATTTAGTCACATTTTCTAACTATTCATTACCTGTCCTTATATTCTGGTTCTGTCCTGAATTCTGATGCCGAGAAATGATCATATACTTAGTCATTTCTGCATTCATTCCTAGACCAACATTGATACTAGCCCTTAAGAGTATGTTTTTTTGCTTTTATATCATCTATATTATCGCCCAACAGATTAATATCATCAGAATAGATCAGCAGCTGATGTGTTCCATTAAATTCCAAACTGCCCCAATTGTCTCGGGTTTTCCTGACGGCATATTTTAAGGCAGAATTTAAAAGCAGTGGCAATAGAACATCTCCCTGTTTCAGGCCATTCGGAACAGGAAATGTATCGGACAAATGTTTACCTACACAAATTTTGCTAGAGTTTGAAATCAAACATGTTTTAATTAGCCTATCTTCTTAGGTATACCAGATTCAAGCAAAATATTGTAAAGAGCTTCTCTTTTAGACGTTTCGTAACAAAATTAGTTTTTACGGTGAGGGGGTTCTTAGCCCCACGCTAAATTCCCGAGCTG